ATCATAATCATAATTATGTTTTTCCCTGAACGTTGGTGTCGGGCGGCAGTCGACGCATAGAAAATCAATGCAATTCACTGATTCGAACGAATTGACAGGTAGCTACGCTTGTAAGCGGGCCTGAGAACGAGAATGAGAAGTTGTATCGTTGGAGTCATGCTGTCGAACGATCAGATGTTACAAAATTAGACAAAAAGAATTCAATGACGATTAGCTGATAGAAATTGTGTACAGTGCTTCACTGGCATAAATCATTCGAAGAAACGATTTAAGAATACAGGTTTCCGCTTTGTAGATTATTACTTTGGCGCAACTGCAAAGATGACGCTGAACAGGGATGAGTGAGTGACGGCGTACAGCTGGCTGTTTGTCAGGCGACGATGTGAAAAGATGGCACGACTAGCACGGAACCGGCGGCGGACGACAGACAGGAGAAAAGAGGAGGCAAGGAGGCGAGGCGACAAGATGGACAAGACGGCACGAGAGCCGTCGTCGAACCGGATGCAGGCAGCGGTTGCAGGGAGTGCAAGCGAAAGAATGCGCAATTCACAATACACACATCAGCCGGATGGCGGTGATATTAAGTACTGGACAGACGATCGATCGTGTAGTGGCGAAACATTGATGAAAGAGACGGGAAGAAAAGTCGCGAAGTTGATCGCCGGCACTGTTTAACAACAGACGTTCGAGAAGGACACATGACGAGGAACTAGCAAAGGATGGTCGGTCGACGAATTAATATAAGAGAACTGTAAGCAAATGTATGTTTATCAGTAGATCAGGAAGAAAGTGACAAGGGCCGAGATGAAAATACCGGAAAACATCCAACGACAGAACGATGTGACAAATGCAAGAAATCATCACACGAACAGTAATGACTGTTTGAATGAAAATCGAAGTAGTCAATAGTCGAAACTGTGATAGCCAGCGTTATGTTTCAGAAAACAGAGCGAGGATTTACAAGTCTGCACGAACGTATGCTCGTCGTCACCTGCAGACACATCAGATCGATACGAGTTAA